GATCTCCGCTCTTGGCACTGGCTTCTGAAACTGTGTGTGAGCAAACGGGTGCCCACAAAGGGGGCTTTCTTTGCCCCTCAATGGCCTTCATTAATGCTCGGAGGGAAGGTGGGGGTGGGGGGGGGTGAAAGGGTAGGAGGTGCTTCCAGGGATGGCACACAGAGGCAGGAAGCTGGCAAAAGGAGCATCATGGGAGATGTGCCAGTGCATTTTGCGAGAGGAGTGTGAGCGTGCGTGTGTGTGTGTGTGTGTGTGTGTGTGTGTGTGTGTGTGTGTGTGTGTGTGTGTGTGTGTGTGTGTGTGTGTCTGTCATTGTGAACAAAATGAACACATTACACTTTCATTGGCCTTTTCATTTCACCTCACGTACATACATAGAACCATTTTCATGAGCTGACCAGTCTTAGCACGATAGCATAAGTAGGCTAACATTATCCGGTTAGGTTAGCTGGGTAGAATCGGCTTTAAACGTTGAAATACTGTATATGTACACACTTTTACAGTGACTTGAGCTTCTCTGAAAATACAGATTTTATCTTGAAGCAATGCGCATCGCATCTCAGTCTGCTCTCACCTCAGTTTGAGATTCCGAAGACTGGGAGGTGTTGCAGAACTCCACTGGCCACACTTCAGACCTAAACTGCTCCACACTAATATTTTATTACTTTATTAGCTCTTATTGTATCTTTACTTTCATTCCTATTCTCAACATGTCTAGCTACTGTTTTCAATGTGTTGAATGTTTGTTTTTTGCATGTTGATATCTGTATTTAGTGTTGTCGGTACTCTATATTGGTGGAAAAAAAGACAATTTCCAACATGGTGGACAATAAAAAAAAATTTGATTCTATTTTATTCTGTTCTATTCTAATGAACTAATTGTTTTTGGTGGCAAGACTTAGCACAATAGCATGAAGGCTACCATGAACTGTTTTCATTTGTTGATAGTATTAGGATGCTATTATTAGCTCGTCATATTAGCTTATTGTTAGCATGCTAATATTAGCTGTTCATATTAGCTTACGAGTTAGGATGCTAATATTAGCTGTTCATATTAGCTTACTAGCAATAGATGGTTACAGTAGCTTACTTAGCATTAGCAGGCTATCATGAGGTGGTTGGTGTTAGCAGGCTATAATGAAGCGGTAACAGTCGCCATTTATCATTATCTTGCTATTATGCCCTCTACATTGGAGGGTGGCTGAACACGCTACCATGAGCTGGTTTAAAAGGATAAAATTAGCAGGGGTGTGTTTGGAAAATATCCCCGGACCGCACTCTGCTTCCCTCTGACCGTTCAGAAATGCCAAGCATTGTTCAAACATGCAATTTGTTTTTTCAGAGTGCAATAAAAAAAGAGTGCCACTCAAGTCGCACCAATTGGGGACATGGAGCGCCCAGAACGTCAGGCGGTACAGAAGGAAACAGTTGAAGCACAAGCTGTTGACTGGTTTATAACATATCAATTATCGTTTTAGCGGCCAATAATTCTTTTGATACCACAAGGTGGCTCCCTTAGTTGGTCATCATTAGCTTAGTAATATAACACTAACAGTGGGCTAGCACTAGCTGACTAACATTCAAAGTGATGCCCAAAAACATATTTGTTAGCTAGCTCGTTAGCCATGGCAACATCCCATATGACAAGTAAAGGAAGAGGCGTGTCGGCCATCTTGTGAAAAGACCAGGGAGGGGGTGTTGAGAGCAGGTGGGACTGATCTAATGACCAAAAGCCTTTGCATCGTACCAATTAACCCCAATGATGGACAGGCCTATTATTCGATGCCGCACCTCAAAGAATTCAAAGGGAACTCTTGAGTGAAAGTGTTGAATGAAAGGGCCAGTGACTTTGGTTTTTTTCTTAAAAAAACAAACCCCAAAAAACTACCTCATCTGAAACCAAATTTCCATCTTTTATTTAAAGCTGAACATTCCAACAAATTATGTCATAATGAAAGTTTTCACCAATATTTATATTACCGGTAATGCTATTACAGTAATATAGTGTTGTTATGTTTGTGTGTATTTCAAAGGTCTTTTTTTTCTTCTTCTTCTTCTTTGACACATGTACAATGACATTGAAACTCTATATTAATCTAAATATTATTTTATTACATATTTATTGTTATTAAAAATCGATATGTGTTTGTGTTTATAATAATTTATATTAATATTTTCATACATATATGTATGCATGTATTATATGTTATAATTTACATTTATTATAATAATGAATTATCTTAATTGTATTATTTATTTTTCTCTTTATTTCGAGACAATATTTTATGTTTGTTATTTATTAATATGAATATATCTATATCTATACATCTATATGTATATAGATTTTAAAAATCTATTTATAAATTTATAACAAATTTATAAATATTTATATCTATATATCTATATGTATATAGAGGGGGGGTCTGTCGATATTTCTTCATGTTTACTTTTAATATTGTATTTCATTTTATTGTTTTACAATTCCAGAATGTACAGCATGATTAAGGTATGTAATATATTTACTCTTTTGGCGGTTTTTTTATGACCTATTTTTTTCTATTTTTCCAAACCTACTTCAGATGTTTATTTTTCTAAAATTTAAATGACAATAAAATACAAAATTTAAATTTGCAGTGTTTGGGATGCTAAATACGATATTTTTTCTGGGTGTGAATTTATTGTTGCTCCAATTCCGATGTGGGCCTCCTTAAGCTAAACAGGTCTATGAAAAATAAATACTTCTTGTTTCGATCATGTACAGGCGTGTAAGAATTGAATGAATGAATAATTCCCATTTGAAGGGGTGAGAAAAGCAGGGAAGCGTGACTGTCTTATCTTCAGTGCTGATAGTGTAGTGTGTGGGGGCAGATAGATGTTTTTAAGGGAAGGGATTAAGAGCATGTATGTTCACACGTTTTGTTCACATACATGTGTGTCTGCGTGTGTGTGTGTGCTGCGCCACTGCAGGAGGATTAAAACGAGGCTAATCTCCTCTTGTTCTTCCTCCCTTCTTCTCCTTCTCCTTCTTCTTCTCGGCTGTTTAGATGCCGCAGCTGCCAGCTTGCGCTTTATTCATGAGCGCGAGGGTCCGAGGTGGCAGCTGTTTGTTTACGCGTTCCCACGACTCGCCGCCAATTAAGCATCTTCACTCCGTCAGCCGCTTGTCTGTTCCCATTAGGAGATTCCCCAGCAGACGCCCCCGGGTCTCCTTCCATGAGGCCTCCTCCACTTGGGCCTCTTCTGCAAGGCCTCGACAGCTTCTTCTCCTCACCGAGATCCTTCTCCTTCCACTGGCCCACTGCATCACCAACCCGATGGAAGTGACAGCGAAAGGAAAAATCGAGGAATGCATTTACAATAATAATAAGGTATGCGGGCTCCTCCCACATTCCAAAAACATGCACGTTAGCTTCAATAAGGACTCAAAATTGTCCGTAGGTGTGAATGTGACTGCTTGTTTTTCTCTACCATGGGGGTCTGCAACCTGCATGCAGCTCAATCCTGCAACTCCTGTCACTTTCTATTTTGGAAAATAAACATTTACTTTGAAAGGGCTTGATTTGTTTTTCAAATCTAATTCTAAATTTGAAGGTTATGGTGCTCTTGAAACATGAGAGTGATGTTTCAAATGTTTCCCAAAGCAGTACTTTTAATGTTACACCCTACATCGCGGGTGTCAAACTCAAGGCCCGCGGGCCAGATCTGGCCCGCCATATCATTTTGTGTGGCCCGCGAGAGCAAATCAAGCATGTCAACTTTTCCATGATGCTTGCTCAAGTCTGAACTAAAATTTCAAGTTGTCATATGTAGTCCATCATAACATCGAGATATCGCAAACATTATCCGTTCCATTATTACATACATGAATGTAAACAATGGCGGAGCAAACCATTATTCTTGACTTCTGATTTCAAAACTAGTTATCCACCAATTTGTTGTGCACTGAATATGTAATATGTGGAGGTGATTAAACATTTATACGGTTTCACAAAATTCACAGTCATAATGGCCCTCTCAGGGAAACCGTAACTACTCTGTGGCCCGCGACGAAAATGAGTTTGACACCCCTGCCCTACATGAACGATATTAAAAACAAACATCGCTCACACCTCACAGATGACACTGTCTGATGCCTAGCCTTGATGTGCTGATGCTCTGACTTTTTTCTAGGTCGTCCAAACTTTGGTCCATCACGACGCCGACGAAGACGACTTGTTTGCGGCCGCATTAACATGACAAAGCACCTCCAACCCGGCGCACTTATTTGAACTTTGAACTCCGCCTTTGTGCCGGCCAGACAGCAAATTGTCGCGGCGGCTCTCCCCTTAGTCAAGTCATTTAATAGCAAAGTCAATTCCCATACACCCCCCACCCCCCCAAAAACATCACACGCGCTCCCACACTCCCAAGCAGACAGACTGGAGGACCGCCCAACCCCTCCCTTCTGTACACACCTCCCTTGTCTGTGTTTTAATGAAGAGGGGCACCCATGAAGGAACATTATTTGAGGGGACCCCCGCAAGTTTAATCCCAGAGAGTTGCGACGGGATGGAGAACATATGCGGCGCGTTACGGTCACATCATCAATGGCATCCTCTGTTTGTAATGTCAAAGCCTGGGAATATCTTTGTATCCTCGCATCATGTATGTTCATGTTTGTTTTCATACTACAACAATGTGGGATGTGGGATTTTGGCACTTAAACAAACAAAATATGATTAAAGTTCCAAAAGCTTCAGTGATATTTGCTGTTTCCTATGTGCGTGTGTTTGTGTGCGTGTGTGTGAGTGTGTGTGGGCGTGTGTAGAGTACCTGTTGTTTCGAAGGTTTAGAATTACATCGATGCCAATTTCCGCGAGCCCATCTATGGCATCTCACATTGGACTTTTATGAGCTAAAATTCATGGCTTGGTTGAACATTTAAACATACGTTATATAATTCTGTTTTGTGATATGTTTCAGATTTCTATGATGTCATAAATCAATCACTTGGCTCCCTGATTTAAGTCTCCAGCATTTCGGAAAGATAATTTTCTTTGAAGGGTTTCCAATCAGATTCCATGCTGGAGGAACGACATCAGGGTGCCACCGTCCAATCATGTGGGAGCAAAAAGTGCAGACACCACTGAATGATAGTGAATTCATTAAAAAGGCGCTTATATCAGTCATTCCACATCTCTGTTTATGTCTCTCGCATTTCCTGATGACATTTTATTTTGAACATTTTATTCGAACATTTCATTCATCAAACTGCCGTGATTGGAGATTGCGTGACATCAGCGAGCCACTACCCAATCAGGTGTGTGTGTGTGTGTGTGTGTGTGTGAGTGTGTGTGCGTGTGTGTGTTTTAACTCAAGTGTCTGGCAACATGTTCCAGCAAGCTGCCCATTTGGAAAATGTTTGGCTTTAGGTAACTTCTGTCCAATCAGGTGCAAACAGGAAGTGCAAATGACATGTTTGAATGGGGTCATAAATCAATCCTTGTAATTTTTTCATTTAAGGCTTTGGCATTTCACTCGTAGAGTTTAGCTTGACAGGTTTCAAGAAATGTAATCAGTTTAATCTCACAAATCCACTGTCCAGTCAGGTGCAAACAGGAAGTGTAAATGACACCGTTAATGGGGTCATAAATCAATCAATATGCTTTTTGATTTAAGTCTCTGGCTTTTTGGGAATACATTTTCCATTCAAAGTTGTCCTGGAAGGCACTAAGTGAGAAGACCTTTGACAATCAGGCACAACCAGGAAGTTTAAATATCATGTCTTATATTATGGAAGAATGGCAGCCCGTATGTTCACCGTACAACATCCAGACACGCTCCCGATCAGGGATGATGTCCGAAAAGCTCGGTGTGGTTCTTGCGGTCTGTGTGTAATCATCAAGTCTTGTCAGTGGTGATTGCTTATTGTGCCGGACTGCAGGAGGCCATCAAGGTGATAAGTCCTATTTTTGATGCACCTTATATTTTGGTGTATCTTATTTTGAAGGCACCTTTAACTCATTCAGTACCAGCCAATTCTAGACCCCATTTTTTTTTTTTTTTTTACCCCAAGTCTTGGAAAAATTGAAAAAAAATGAGTATCTAGGGTTGAACGTATGGAACGTACGTTCCTCGTGTCATGATTCGTGTTAATTATTATGTTTCGAACAGTAGCTATCTTGAATTAGTTTAGCATTATTTCTTAAAATGTTAGCAGCGGTGAGGGGGTGGGGTGGCAAGGCGGTGAAGAGGTGAGAAAGTGTGGTTGGGAGAAAGCGACGTCGCAAAGTAGAAGTGCTAGCAAGGAGGTGAAGAGGCTCGGTGGTGGGGAGGTCACGAGGGGAGAAGGTTGAGGGAGTGAAGGGGTGAAGTGGTGACAATGTGAGGAGGAGCAGAGCTGAGGCAGCTTCGAGGAGCGGAGGCGAGCTGGTAAGAGACTGAATAGGGGAGGAAATGAAGAGGACAGAAAGCGAGGTGGCAACGTGAAGAGCAGGCTCGGAGACAAGGAGGTGAGATGGCGAGGATGTGAAGTAAATGATAAATGGGCTGTCATTTATATAGCGCTTTTCTACATTTGGTACTCAAAGCGCTTTACATTGTTTCCTCATTTATCTGCTGATGACGTAGCATCAGGAGCAACTGGGGGTGGGGGGTTGAGTATTTTGCTCAAGGACACTTCGACAAGGTTCGCAATGGACGGGTATTGAACCCCCAACCATCTGGCATGGGAGATGACGACGACCGCTGAGCCATGCCTCCCCAAGTGGCAAGGATGTGTGGGAATCTGAGAGGATGGGGAGAGTGAGCAGGTGAGGTGGCAAAGGTGGAGAAGAGAAGGATGAAAAGAATCCAGTGACACTCCACCAACATGAACCTTCTTTCCACGCGTGGCAGTGGATGACTCTCCTGACCAGAAGGTGGCAGGAGTCTGCAGTTTTGTCTTTTTTCATGACAATAAACACACAACTGGAATCTCTCGAGTTGATTAGCATGTTGATGTCACATGAGGAACTTCCAGGAGAATGAACTACTAAGTTGGTCAATATATTAGAAACAGCTGCCTCATAGTCAAACACAGATGAAGCACACAGTATGTGGCGTAATCCATTCGGAGCTGCTGAATGAAGGGGAGGCGGGGTCACGCGGATTAGGTTGAACAACAACTAACCTGAGGGGATCAAATATGTGCATGCACAAGGGTACGGGGGGGGGGCTCTGAGAATGAAGACGGCCCCCAATTTAAAGCTGCCACCATACCCCGCCCACCACGACATAATTTTGCCAACCCTGAGTTTTCAATTTTAGTACAACAATGTCTGTGGGTCTACGTGTTTATAATATAACATGAAACAAGAATGAGCGTTGCTAATGGGGATACACACAAATACATGCCGATATCTTGTTACCACGGCAACCAAGGAACTGCGTACAGAGGTGAAACGTGGCACCTCGGCTAAGTGTGTCCAAGCGTCTGTGTTTAAATACGACCTGAGGTGGTGAGAATGAGAGGCGGAGAGGAGTTTAATTGGCAAGGTGGTGAGGAGACGATGAAGCGAGAAACTGAGGTGGCCAAGAGACAAGAAGGTGAGGTGGTCCGGTGCATGGAATAAGAAGGTGAAGAGGTGACCACCCCTCCCCCCCAAAAAGAAAAAAAAAAAAGAAATGCAAACGCAAACATACAAAATACACAATCTCTGACTGCTGGAAAGCAGAAGATAGGATATGAGGAAGTGAGGTTGGGAGGTGCCAAGGAGGTTTGTAAGCTGAGAAGGTGAGGTGTTGAGTAAATGAGGAGGTAAGGAAACAAGGAAATGAGCAGGCAAATTTGCAAGGAGGTGGCGAAGAAAAGGAGAGGTGGTCAAGGGATTGAGGAGGCCATGTGGTGAGGTGGTGAGAGGATTGGGAAGTGAGGAAGTGAGGTCATGAGGAGGCAAGGAATGAAAGGGTGAGGAGAAAAGAAGGTGAGCTTGCAGTGCGGTGATGACGATGAAATGTGGAGCCGATGCATTGATGGGGAAAGAAGGCAAGGAAGTGAGGTCGGGAGGTGACAGGGAAGTGAGAAGATCAGGTGGCTAAAGGTAAGCGGGCAAAGAGGTGAGGAAGTGAGAAGCTGAGGTGGTAAGGTGACAAGGAGGTGAGGGAGTCGGATTGGGAGGTGGCAAGGTGATGAGGTGGTGAGGAGGTCAGGTGGCGGTCAGGTGAAGTGGTGGCAAGGTGGCTAAGGGATGAAAAGGAAAGACGGTCAGTACTTGAGACGTGATGAGATGAGGTGACAAAATATGGTGAGGTGGCGAGGAAAGGAGAAAAGGAGGTGAGGAAGAAAGGCGAGGAAGTGAGCTGGCGAGGTGGTGAGAAGGTGAGTCGACAAACAGGTAAGGAAAGGAGAAGGTGATAAGAAGAAATTATCACATGGAGAATTGAGATGGCTCTCACAAGGAAGGACAATCCTCTAGCGTCCCCCTGGTCCTAAAGCCTGCCATCAGCTTTTAATTTCAATTGAAAGTCCGCATTTGACCGCACAAGATCACCCTTCTTGGATGTACCAGTCATTGTGTGACGGCAGCAGGCCGAGGGGTGAAAGTTCATCTCAACATGCGTCCTTCTCTTTGATCCCCTCTCCACCCACGTCCCCCTCCTTTGAGGTGATCAACAAGGGCGGCGGCCATGTTGAGAGGTTAAGAGCTGTTTTATTGGGCAGGGTGAACTCTGGCCTGTAGGTCACAGAGGACAAAACAAACACATGTTCAGCTTCAAGGGAGACTCAATCACTGGGTTGGTAAGTTTTAGTGTGTCATTGTGCATGTGTATGAATATGCGCAGATGCATGTGTATATATGTTTGCGTGTCTGCAAGTGTTTGAGTTCATTGAAGGCATTTGAACTTTTGCTCTCTGCTCAAGATTAGTGCAAGCAGCCTGAAACATGAAGGTCACATGAAGGTCACACACTTGATCCGCTCAGTGATCACTAAGCAGTGCTCACAAACCGACAAACACCCCATTCACCACTACACAGACTAATGCTACTGTTAACCTCTTTCCTTTCTTTCCCTAGAGGAGGAGATGTGGCAAGCTAGCAAAGAATTGGAAGGTGAGGAACACCAGAGAATAAGGCCTTTGTGTGTATCACCACCTTAAAATAATGGCCTCCAAAGTCATATTTCGACAAAAACATATTTGGGGGGTTTAAGCGATGATGTTAGTCGCCTTGTGCTAAAATCAGTGACATCCTAAGTTAAACAGATCACTTCTTCCCTTGTAATGAAATTGTCGATAATTATAATATGATCCGTATTTGGTTCATCTTTTCGTGTTTGTGAAAAAAAAAAAAAACAGAATTTTTTTTTTTAGGAGGACTCGCACCACAAACATATATACTGATAAATCTGCATAACTTCAGTGTATTTTCAGAGTGTACATTTTTTTCTTTAATTTGCCATTATGTCTTGGGCTTCAGGGGCTTTACTGGAACTACGGCTGAATCTCCACCTCTAAAGAAAATCAAGACAGTAGTTTGACAACTACTGGGCAGAAGACTAACAAAGCCGACGGAAGGCAACTGAGAGGATTCGGAAGTGACACCGAATGAATAGGATTTCTGCTCAACAGGTACAGTCATCACATCTTTTTTTTTTTATTTTTAATTGACGCTACATTCTAAAAAAATATATTGTCAAACTGTTACCTTCGGTGTTATTGTAGCGCTCGATTAAGAATAAGTCATGCTATCGACGTGGCAGCTTTGGCTAAAGTGTGCTTGTTTACAATGCTCAAGCTAGCTTAGTGCTGCTAGCACTGCAATTCTGCTGAAGCTAGATATGCGTTCTCCGTGATTATTTATCATGACTGAGCTCTTTTATAATCGAAATGCCATCATGACTGGCCATGTTTGAGAATCACACAGTACAGATATCTGTTTTCAAATGAAGGGTGTCAAAAATGATCTGAGAAACACATCAAGTAAAGTACAAATAGCAACAAAGAACACTCTCCTCGGTAGAGTAACAAAGTATTTGTGCTTCCCACCACTGAATGATTTAATGTGCAAGTTTTTTTTTCTACGATCTTTTGGCTGCTGACAGGCAAATGAAACATAATGGTCTTAATGGTAACGTAACGTAATGGTCCTTCAAGTCATGCCATGAGCCACTCCAGCCACACGCACACGCACTCAACTGCACGCCTGCTTTGCATATGAATGACATCACCCTAAACTTGTCTCTCGCAAGTTTTGAGGGGCTTAGTTGAGGTTGGGTTGGGTGGGAAGAAAAAGGCGGGGTTGTCACATGGCGTGAAAGGGGAAACATTAGTCCAATGGTTCACTCATCGACGACGACTTGACATTCCAGTATAGCAACCCGCCGGGTTGGCGTCTTCGCCTCTGTGATCTGGATAATCGACAAAGCCTCAGCTTCATCGGGATCGTTCACTCATTCCCCACTCCCAAATCACCATGTGCACACACAAAAACAAACAAACAAAATGGCATGTTGAATTTACTCAATTTTATTTCATGCTTATATTTGTGTCAAGTGCGCACAATAGAATCATCTGGATTTTGACAATTTTTTTTTTGAAGTAGACTATTCAGCTTAAAAAAATATATCTGCATTCTGATGATTTTATTTCATGCAACCTCTTGATAAAATAAGAACGAGTGAATTAAACACACCCTTTTTTTCAGTGTGCGTAGTTTAATATTGTGGATTATACACAGGAGTTCACTAAAAACTACATTATTGCAAGCCAACATTGCTTCTCTAGTGACCATCGGTTCCTCACTACGCAATCTAACAGCTCGACAAAATGGCGAACTGACTATGTAGTGGGTGGATAAGGAGTAATTCCCAATATAGCCAAACTCACAGATGTGTTACAATGCTTCCGCTAATGAAAGTGCAGCATCCTGCATTCAAAATGTCCATAAAGCTTCCCATAAAAATAACAAATGATGTTGTTAAAACATGATTATTGTTTTTTTTTTGTTTGTTTTGTTTTTTTAAACAGGATACTAGCACGGCAGCTTTTACAGCTCATTTGTGTGCCGCTTAAAGACAAAAAATATGAATATTGTTTTGATTTGAAGGTTTTACAATGCAGTAAAATGTATGATCAACAAAGAGGGTAGAACTGTAAGTATTTTTGGAGAGATTACAGGTAGTTGAGGCATTGCATTGAGTCCAGGAAGGAGACGCAAACGGCAATTAAGATCAAATAAGTTGACAGGGATTTTGACTTTTTTATGAAGTGACACTAAAATATTAAAAGTGGACCTGCTTGTATAACACTTCACACTTGAGGAGGCGAGATAGTGAAAAGGTCACCTAATGAGGAGGAGAGGACGGGAGTAGGAAAAGAGGAGGAGTGGCGATGTGGTGGCAAAGATGTCGGGAGGCAAGGAAGCTTGAAGCAAGGAGTCAAGTTGACGAGGCAAGCGAGCGAGGAGACAACTTGGTGAAACAGTGAGGAGGTGGAGGGAAGGATGTGAGAAAATAAGGAAGCAAAGAGGGGAGGAGACTATGTGGCAAAGGAGGCAAGATGGTGAGGAGGCGAGTTGGGGAGACATTGAGGAGGTGAGGCAGCAAGTGAGTTGGCAAAAAGGTGAGGAGGTCTGGAAATGAGTTACTAATGCCTTGAAGCAAGGAGTCAAGTTGACGAGGCAACCAAGCGAGGAAACAAGTTGGCGAAACAGTGAGGAGGTGGAGGGAAGGATGTGAGCAAATAAGGAGGCAAAGAGGGGAGGAGACGATGTGGCAAAGGAGGCAAGATGGTGGCAAGTTGGGGAGACATTGAGGAGGTGAGGCGGCAAGGGGACGCCAGGATCGTTGAAAGTGAGTTGGAAAAAAGGTGAGGAGGTCTGGAAATGAGTTACTAATGTCTTGCGGTGGTGAGTAGGCAAGGGGACAAGGATGTAAAAAGGCAAGGTGGCAAAAAGGGATCCAGATGGTCCTGATGAGGCTCGAGGGCAAGAAAACGAGTTGGCAACGAGAGGATGAGATGAGTTGGCGAGGGGGCGTGGGCATGATGGTGAGGTGATGAGGAGGTGAGTAGGAAAGTCAGTCAGGAACCAAGGAGATGATTTGGCAAGAAGGTGAGATGGTGAGGTAGCAAGGAGACAAGCCTACATGGACTTGATGGAAGCAAGGAGACTCTTGATGGCTGTCAATGAGGTAAGACGAGTTGGCGAGGAGATAAAGTAGGAAGGAGGCCAAAGAGTGAGGACGTTAGAAGGTAAGGAGGCCGTTCGCAAGGAGGTAGGAAGGTAGTCAGGCTAGTGATACGTTGGCATGGAGCACTCTGACATCCCCAGATTTGGTTTCCCTCCAAAAAGCAGAGAAAAGACCCCAGGAAGACATTCCTGCATAGCAATGGCCATTGTGAGGATCTGATTCAAAAGAGCCATCGAGCTACTTGGACGCCAACCAAAACCTCACATTTGGACCCCACCCAATACACATCGTGACCAAACTCAAGGAGGGCGACCATTTTGACACCATTCATGGTCGCCATTTTATCTTTAACGCGATATTTTAGCAAGCTACATTGCTGTCTTGACTGATATTCAGACAGTCTGTTCAAAATGACTTCAGCGGTCATGTTAGTAGGTTAACGATTAATGACCTCACTGTAAGAAATCGGAAGGCTAATGCTAATATGCTAATCCACTCAGTCTTGTGCCATGGAGGATCTCAATTTGCTTTTTATCATTTTTCCCTATGATAAATAGATATTTTTTTTTTGTTAATCACTCTCGGGGTGCCCCTCTAGTAGTCACGGGGACCTTAAGCAAATGCTTAGTCTGACAATGCCTGACCGGATGGACTGTCATGTAATTGCAGCTTGGCCTCTGCTTTATAAGGCCAATGGAATACTCGCAGCCGGCTGATGTGTAACGCTGTAAACATGAGCGGCGGCGGCTCACAAAATGCACCCATCAGGGAGGGGAGGATGGGGGCGGGAGGCTGGCGTAAAAAAAAAAAAAAAAAAAAAAAAGGAGGGGGGGAGCACGTTAAGAAGCTTCCTCATTGAATTAGGCCACACTTCATAAAAGACAAGCAGCAGCACAGCTGTACTGCAAAGACGCACATTTCATTTGTTTTGCACTGCGCTGCGCCCTCGTTTGCATGACAGTGTTAATGAATGATGTGTGTGTGTGTGTGTGTGTGTGTGTGTGTGTGTGTGTGTGTGTGTGTGTGTGTGTGTGTGTGTGTGTGTGTGTGTGTGCGCACAGTGGCCATATGTGATGTCAGACAGTGAAAAACACACGTCCATATGCGCATGTTGCTGGATTCCGCATGCGTGTAAGCTTAGCATTGAACACAATCGCGCCGAGCACTGAAAATGCTCATTAAAAACAAACGGAATAGTTCAACATTTTAAAATGTGTGTCTCTCATCCAGGATCAGCCCTCTCTATTTTACAAGGGCCCATATTTGGTGCTGTTGTTTGTTTTGTTTGTTTCATGGGTCAGTGTAACCACCTCTTGCTATACCGTCTGATTTGAAAATGGATGAAAAAAATAAGTGCAAAATAAATATATAAATATGATCAAATTGTACTTGGGCTGCTCACCCTGCCTTTTTATTATAAATTATGTATTATATCTTTTTCTTTTTTTTAAAATGATTTGAAAACATTTTTATGACCAAAACTGCAATGGGTCGAATTGACCGAGGAACAAGAAACACAGCAACAGGGGTTAAGTAAAATGATTTGATAAATACATGTTAAAATTAGGAAAAAACATAAGGCCAAGCAGAAGTTTTTTTTTCATGTTTATTTTTTTTTCATTTAAAAAATACACATTGGTATGTTTTAAAAGTCCATTCGACCTCCAATGTATCAAAAAGGAAATCGAACTACGAAATGCGATTGTGATATGTAAGGTTTGAGATGTAAAAACGTAAGTTAAATTTCGGAAAAAGACAAGATTGAAAAAACTTTTTAAAAAGTCTTGTGATGGTCTACAGTAATTTTAAAATTGTTTCACAATACTGGCTCGCTGTCGCATGTATATGGGGAAGGCCTAAAAGTGAAGACTAAAATATAAGGAATAAATCTCTATAAAGTGGCACACACTTACCACAAACAGCGAAAATGGAGCAATGAGTGCAGATGTGGACTGCGACATTAGCTTCTTGCATTAGCCATTAGCTAGCTAGTTAAGGATGGCCTAAATGTGAAAAAACTAAATATTAGGAGCAGATCTCCGTGCAGTTTTACTTTACAAAAATTAAAAAGGGGGTGCACTGAGAAAAAAAATGTTTGCCTTTTGTTCCAATGATCTCAAGAAGGTTGGACAACTAGCTTTTCCACAAACAATAAAAATTTTGGAAAAAAAAAGGGAACATGACCTCATTAGTGGACGATGAACATGAATATTAATAAAAGATATTATAACATATGTAATGAATTACCAGATCTAAAAAAACCCACAAAATACACCAAAAAAGTCACATTTGCATTGTTTTCATTGTAAACATTTAATAATATTGCAACATTTATCATAGAAGGCACAATGGTGAACACACACAGCCATTGTTGCATCACACAAACAAAACTTATACAGGTATGAAATACATTTTTTTTAAATCAAAGAAATGAAAAAT